AGAAAAACCGATCAACTAACCTAAGTTTCTTAAGATTTGAATACGAATCACTTTAATTTGAAAACTTGGTTCAAAAAAATTAAGAAGTTTGTAATCCTTTACATGGTTTAATAGTGGTCATGCTGTTTATTGGACAATAAGTGAAATGTATCAAGTTCTAAAGTTTGACCCTTATACAAAATAATAGATAATAACACTTAATTTAATTATTTTTATTTAAAAAATAAAAATATAACTATTAACTTAAAAAATTTTCATATTTATTTTTAATTAATTAGTAAAAAAAGAAAAATTAAGACATTCAAAAATTAAAAATAGGAGAACAATAACTCGGAACATATAGTATATGTCTCAATTTCATTATATCCATCAAATACCTGTTACTGGACCGCTCATGATTTCCCTTTTATTTTAATTATTGTCCTTGAATAAACCTTAACTAATATATAGTACAAATATTTTTTTTAAATAAAAATAAAGTAAAAATAATTATATTAAATAATATTTTAAAAAATAAAAAATTAAATTTAAATGATTCAAATTAAAATATAAGTTTATTACAGTTGAATAGGAGGAAGTAATATTTTAAATATAACATTTTTTAGAATTGATTAGTGTTGTCTAAAAATTTTAAAAGAAAATACTCAAAGTTAGGATATGTGTAATAATATTTAAAAGAAGATATTACTATTTATCACTCAAGAGCTATTATAATTTATGTTGGTATTTAAGTGAAAAAGTGAGATATTAATGTTAATCACTCAAGAGGTTTAATAATTTATTTTAGTATTCAAGTAAAAAAGCGAAAATAGATCACATAGGATTACACACGTGTTGTTGAAATATTAACAATAAAAGTTGATTTAATATTTTGAGGTGTTTAATAGTTAATTTATATCATTTATAAGGTTTAAAAATTTATTGGTATCATTTTTAGTTCAAAAACTCATATTTTTGTAATTAATTTTTTAAACAAATTAAATTTATTGTCAATTTATATATATATGTAATTTTTTAAAAAGTGCATATTCAAATAATTTGAGAGAAAGTAATTTTGTGCACAATTTAATTTATATATGTATATGGGAAAAAGAAAGAAAGAAAAAAAAACAATTTATATTGTGAAGTGGACTAAACATGAAGTGGACTAACAAAATTTTATTTTTATGATTATACTACAGAAAGAAACCATCTGGTCCACTTCATGATTGGGGGAGCTGGAGGGGTTTAATTTAAAATTTAATTTTATGTTCTTGTTTATCTATTCTAGACTTCTAGTAGGTGTTCTCTCCTCTCTTCAACTTAATATTTAATTTTCTTCCTATCAATTTTAATAGTATACCCTTATATAAGTTTTGTGTATTTAATGAAATTAATTATTTTAAATGTTGATTTCAAGGTAGGTAACATTATTACTATACTTTTAATTATTAAAATTACATATTTTTATCTTAGAAAAAGATTTAGAGATAATTTTTTTATATAACTTTATATATTATTTAAATAATTAGATCTTTTTATT